TCTCTCTCTCTCTCTCTCTCTCTCTCTCTCTCTTCTCTCTCTCTCTCATCCCCTCCCTCCCTCCCACCCACACCCTTCCCCCTCCCTCCCACTCCCTCCTTCCTTCTCCCTCCCTCCCCTCCCTCTCCTTCTTTCTCCCTCCCTCCCAATCCGACCCTCTCCTTTCTTCTCACCACCCTCCCCTCCTTCTCTTCTTTCTCCCTCTCTCCCCCTTCTTTAACATCCCTCCCTCCCTCCCTCCTTTTCTCTCCCCTTCTCTCCCTCCCTTCCCTCCCTCCCTCCCTCCCTCCCTCCCTCCCTCCCTCCCTCCTCCCCCCCTTCCTCCTCCCAAGAACTGATTTAGACTCGTCCCTCCCTTCCCCCCTGCAGCCGGAGATGACCGAGGACCGCGTGGCTGTGGTCGAGGAAGCCTTCGCCAAGCTGGACCAGAGCGGCGACGGCGTGGTCACCCTCGACGACGTGAAGGACACCTACGACGCCTCGCACCACCCTCGAGTCCTGTCCGGGGAGAGCACCGAGGAGGAGATCCTGCTCAAGTTCATCGGGAGGTTCGAGGGAACACCAAGGAGGACGGGAAGGTGGGGCGTGTGTGTGTGTGTGTGTGTGTGTGTGTGGTGTGTGTGTGTGTGTGTGTGTGTGTGTGTGTGTGTGTGTGTGTGTGTGTGTGTGTGTGTGTGTACTACGTGTACTTTGTTTTATATGTATGTGTGTCGTATACAGTATAGTGTGTGCTGTAGATGTCTATCTATCTATCTATCAGACCTTTGTTTTATTGTGACATATAGTAAGACAGACAAACAGACCGCTTGTTTAAAGGAGAGCAAAGTAAGCGTTTCACAATCACTCACAATCAATCCACTCAAAATTAAATATCCAATCGTATCAATCCTTTAAAAAAAAAACTTTCGCCTCCTTTCCAGCTGACAAAAGAGGAGTTCCTAGAATACTACTCGGGCCTCAGCAAGTCCATCGATGAAGACGAATACTTTGTCGAAATGATGAAGATGTGCTGGAAGCTGTAAGGCGGGAGATGGGGGTCGCTTTGGCATCACTTAGCCTTTATTCAAGTACCAAGTTGCCTTTGTAGAATCCGTCGGTGGTTGGGAAGCTAAACCAGGAACTCCCCGCATCAACGACCACGCTTGTCCACGCACGAAGATTGACAGTGACTTCAGGAGAGGAGAAATAGACGTGGAGAGAGAGAAAAATAATAATACTACGATATTCAAAGCACTGCACTTTTGGCTTAATTTTTATGAATGTCAGCTTTTATATATATATCACAGAGTATGATTTCAGAAACTGGTCGATGACAAGGGGATAAACAGACTGCGATTCATCCTTTCAGTGCTTGCAATTACAGTCAGAATACCCGCTCATGGCCCATCTATGGTCGCCGTTTCTCCTACTTTTGCAATGGCTACGAACACTTCTTGTCTTTGTAACCCTGGAGCTTGACCTCTAATGACCTGACCTAGCCTCCCGAGCTTCTTGCAGAACTTGATGATAAATAATAATATACAAGAGCTACATGAAAACACGGGCTTTAAATACATACATGCTAATATATGGTCATACCGTCCGTGAATATACACACATATCTGATATGACTCCTGTAAGAGAGGTCAGGTCATGAGTAGACAGACGAAATGACATCAATGCCAGAGTCACAATTCCTGTCATGAATTCTACAAATCGGAAACACCCTTTGTTGTCTTACAGGCAAAAGCAAATACTACCAAGGAATCATTGATAATATTTGCCAACACTGAAATGTTTCTTTCTCGCACACAGCGCTGATGCGACAGACAATGACTGCTTCATCTCAATAAATGGAATAAAATCTGAGTGTTCAATCTTTCTTTGCCTTCTCCAGCTCTCTGTCAACAAGAGAAAAAAGAACGAATTTATTATTATGATTTTGTCACAACTTTTCGTTATTATTGATATATATTCATCATCCTTATCGTTATCATTATCTTCATCATCATTATCGTCATCATTATCTTCATCATTCTTATCGTTATCATTGCTACTATTATTACCATTATTATTGCTAATATTATTACTATTGCTATCATTATTATTCCCCTTATTATCATTATTATGCATATCGTTACTGCCATCATTATTTTTATCATTCTTATGCTCATGATTGTTATCTTATTGTTTCAATTATCATTCTCATTATCATTGCTATTATTATCCACCTCATCATTATTATAATTACCATCATTATCATTAGTATTATCTTAACTATTGCCATTATCATCAGCAGCAGCACATCTTCACTCCTATTTCTATTATCATTTTCATCATTATTGTAGTCATCATTATCCTTTCTACTAATATTATTACTGCTACTATTATCCTTCTCACCATGATTATTATCGTGTTATTGTGGTTATTATCATTATTATTATCAATATTATCATTATCATGATTATTATTATCATTAATATTACTATTGATAGCATATTCTTTATTATCATGATCATCATAATCATTTTATCATTATCATTGTTATCATCATTATTACTATTATCATCATTTGAGCAAAGTAGAAGGGAGGAACGCGAGGTAGAGGAGAAAGGGTGGTGATAAATGGAGGAAGAGAGAAGGAAACGAGAAGAGATAGAAAAGAAGCAAAATCAGGTGAAATTACAAAAAAAAAAAAAAAAAAAAAAAAAATAATAATAATAATGAATAAATAAATAAAGGGAAGGCCAAGGAGAGAATCCTATAACGATGAAAAATAGCCTTCGTTTCAAGAATTAAAATATGTAATACGTATAAGATTTAAAAAACAAAAACAAAAACGCAAACACATACATATTTGCGTATATACATAGGAAATCGCATAAATACATAATGATCATTAAACCAGTATTTTTTTCTGGATATGTGTTAGGGAAAATATTCCATCGGTTCATCAAATAGATTCACGGTTTTCTCACTGAAACCAAGAACTGAACACCAAATGCCGATTTCAAAAAACATTTTAACCAGTTTCTGGATTACGTGATCTGTTATCTGTCTATATAGGAAATTTACCTATAGATAACACTGCCCTTCCTTTCTCTATGAAAAAGAGAAAAGAGAAGGAGAGAAAGAGAGAGAGAAGAGAAGAAGAGAGAGAGAGAGAGAGAGAGAGAGAGAGAGAGAGAGAGAGAGAGAGAGAGAGAGAGAGAGAGAGAGAGAGAGAGAGAGAGAGAGAGAGTTTGTATGAATGTGCGTAAATACGTGAGTGCGTAAACATTATCTGTTAAATTAAAAAAAAAAAAATCAAATCAAAGATCAAAATAATACACACACACATGTGTGTATATCTATATATCTATATCTCAATCTATCTATTATCTATCTATCTATCTATCTATTCTATCTCTCTCTCTCTCTCTCTCTCTCTCTCTCTCTCTCTCTCTCTCTCTCTCTCTCTCTCTCTCTCTCTCTCTCTCTCTCTCTCTCTCTTTCTCTCTCTCTCTCTCTCTCTCTCTCTCTCTCTCTCTCTCTCTCTCTCTCTCTCTCTCTCTCTCTCTCTCTCTCTCTCTCTCTCTCCTCTCTCTCTCTCTCTTCTCTCTCTCTCTCTCTCTCTCTCTCTCTCTCTCTCTCTCTCTCTCTCTCTCTCTCTCTCTCTCTCTCTCTCTCTCTCTCTCTCTCTCTCTCTTCTCTACTACCACACACACACACACACACACTACAGACAAATGTGTGTCTGTGAGTACAATTATGCATAAATATACTACATGTATACATAGAATATATATAGATAGATTTATAGATACATACATACATACTTAAATACATATATGTATGTATTATGTATATACATACATACATGAAAAAGATAGATAGGTAGTTGAAAGAAGAGATATTTACATATCATATATATATATATATATATATATATATATATATATCAAATGTGTGTGTGTGTGAGTGCAATTATGTATAAATATCTACTACTCTCTCTACATACATATATAGATAGGTAGTTGATATATTTACATATGCATATAATATATATATATATATATATATATATATATATATATATATATATATATATATGTACCACACACACACACACACACACACACACACACACACACACACACACACACACACACACACAACACACACACACACACATACTGGACACACACACACACACACACACACACACACACACACCACAACACACACACACACACGTTCACACACACATTTACACACTCATGTGTATGCATTTATATTTCTAAGTCATATCTTTAAGATTTCCAGACAAATTTACACCACATTCTTCGAAGGATTCGCTGGCGACGAACTGATCGGTTTGGTGTTGTAAGCGACGCAAACAGCGACCAGCGGAGGCGAAGCAACGTTTGTAAACATGGACAGCCCGAAGAAGCTCAAGGTAAATTATGTGAAAACGAAATTTCATGCTTATCGAAGGTGTATCTGGTTTACCTTTTTGTGCTTTTCAGTCATTGGTGATAATGAATGTATAAACAAATTTTGGGTAAGTATGTAGGGTGGTTGAGGAACAAACTTTTGGTATTTTCTTTGTGATTCTCTGTAACACAGATTTTCAGCCTTATATAGAAAAGTATTTTCTCCAGTTCTTGGATATGTTTTTAAAACGCGTTATATACTTCTTTACAAGATACAGCACGGGGTAGTTAATTGAATTTTGTATATTTAGTTTGAAATAATACCGCTACCTACCTCGCATCTTACCTCCATGCCTATCAACACGCAGTCAAAGGCAAACAAATCTCCATCATATATATGCTTACAAGATGGAGCTGTAAATCTCTGTGGCCGTGAATTATTGGCAAATCTTACTTGCAGTGTTCTTAGTACTGCTAATTTTGACAAAAATAGGTTGTACTTGATGCAGCATCAGCAACAGTATCTTTGGTCATAATGAGAGTGGTTTGGCATCTAATGTTTGTGATTATTTTGGCCTCCATGTCTTTACTTTGGCAAAGGACCATTAAGCCTGTACCATATGTATTATGCTGATTTGTCATCCGATAAGGAACTACTCCAACCTTTATCTCAGATCATATAGTAGAGATTTGGATACCTTTACTAGATTGCTGTAATTGCAGAGACTACAGTAACCACACAAAACATGACGCTCATAACAGCAGTTTGTATAAAGCATGAGGCTCTATCCAGATATGATATATAAGATGAGAATTGTTTGACTTCTACTCTAACAAAAATTAGTTGTTTTTATTACAGCCTTTTGGTTTGAACAGATACTGTAGGAATGCATTATATTTAAAGTATGACCCGTCATCACTTTGTTGATCTTTGTTGATTTAGAATATCATGTACTGTGCTGACATTGATTTTCTGAGGAGTCTGTCTTAGACACTGGGGAATAGATATTATGTTTATTTATTTATTTATTTATTTTTCATTTAAGAAATTACAATATAGTTGAGAGACAGTGAAGGGAAGATGTATAAAAGAAACTCATTCAGGTAATCAAGAATCCTTTTCAATTAATGGCCAAAGTTCTTGTACTGATATATTTCTTCTTATTGTTTTGCCATTTCCCAAAGGTCAGGGATCAGTTAAGAAATGTGTGTAGCTGAATTAAACAAATCTTTGTCTTTCAGAGATACAGACGCGAAGATCCAAAATCTTCCAGTGATGAAGAAGAGGATTCATACGAACCTTACATCCCCGTTAAGGAAAGAAAGAAGCAGCGGATGAAGCAGATACTGAAGATATCTCAGGTATTTTCTTTTTTCTTTTGTGGCTGATGGTACTTATTACGTAGATAATGATAAATATATGTATTTTGACACAAACCAAATCAAGATTGTGAGTTTTGTATTGTTGATATTGTATATGCAATCTATATTGTGGTAAATTAGTTATCCATATTTGCATATTAATACACACAGTTCATTTTTTCTTACTCCGTTTATAACCCGAGTTTATTCAAAGTATTACTTGTAATATCTATAAAATAAAAAGGGGTTTATACTCTCATTAGAGAATATGAACATGCGTGTAAAACTTCATTTCTAACAAATATTTACTTGTAACAGGATGAGGATGCAAGTACAGACTCATGGAAGGAAAGAGAGCAAAGAGAACAAGAGGAGGATGTACAGGAACTGGCCAGAAAGAACAATATCTCCCTCTTGGACCAGCACACTGAACTCAAAAAAATTGCTGAAGGTGAGATATGGTTTGTTGGCTTTAAGATGGAAAGATCTGTAAGCTGCATGTCAGATGTAACCATGAACAGTAATTGTATAATCAAATTTCTCTAATCTATTTGAATATTTTGATAAGATCTAAAGCATTAAAGAAGGCTAAAATTCTTTTTTTTTTTCTTTTATAGCTCGCAAAGAATCAGAATTGGAGAAACAACGTCGAGAAGAGAAACGTCTCTTGGAAGCTGTGGCTGAGAAAAGAGCTCTGATGGGTGTGTCTGAGTTGGCGCGTGGTGTACAGTATGAGGATTCTGTAGTTACAGCTTGGAGACCCCCAAGGCGCATATTGGCCATGGATGAAAAAAGGCACGAAAGAGTGCGTAGGAAGTACAAGTGAGTACTTTGAAGTGCATGAAGGGACTGATTTTTTTTTTTTTTTTTTTTTTATGTATGTATACTCAAAGAAATTACTAATATTTTGACATTGGATACTGAATGTTGAAATTAATCAAAACTGCAATGTTATTTGTATGTGTGTATGTGTTTGTGTGTGTATGTATTTGTATGTGTTTGTGTTTGTATGTGTTTGTGTTTGTAATTTGTATTTGTATATGTATGTGTATGTATGTGTATGTATGTATGTATGTGTATGTATGTGTGTGTGTGTGTGTGTGTGTGTGTGTGTGTGTGTGTGTGTGTGTGTGTGTGTGTGTGTGTGTGTGTGTGTGTGGTGTGTGTGTGTGTGTGTGTGTGTGTGTGTGTGTGTGTGTGTGTGTTGTGTGTGTGTGTGTGTGTGTGTGTGTGTGTGTGTGTGTGTGTGTGTGTGTGTGTGTGTGTGTGTTGTGTGTGTTGTGTGTGTGTGTGTGTGTGTGTGTGTGTGTGTGTGTGTGTGTGTGTGTGTGTGTGTGTGTGTGTGTGTGTGTGTGTGTGTGTGTGTGTGTGTGTGTGTGTGTGTGTGTGTGTGTGTGTGTGTGTGTGTGTGTGTGTGTGTGTGTGTGTGTGTGTGTGTGTGTGTGTGTGTGTGTGTGTGTGTGTGTGTGTGTGTGTGTGTGTGTGTGTGTGTGTGTGTGTGTGTGTGTGTGTGTGTGTGTGTGTGTGTGTGTGTGTGTGTGTGTGTGTGTGTGTGTGTGTGTGTGTGTGTGTGTGTGTGTGTGTGTGTGTGTGTGTGTGTGTGTGTGTGTGTGTGTGTGTGTGTGTTGTGTGTGTGTATAATTATATAGATATTCTATCTATATATTCTATATATATGTATATATAAATATAAATATATATATATTTATATATATATATATATATATATATATATATAATAGTTATTTCTTTTTAAATTTAGTTGATTTCTTTGTCTTTATTAGATTTATGATTCTTAATCCCTTGTAGAAAGTAAAATTTACAAGTACTTTCTATTTTGGTGTTAGTCTAGGTTAGGTCTTCTCATTTAATATCCATTGTCATTGAGATATAGAATCACAGAGTAATTATTATTTCTTTACTTATGTTGTATATTTCAAATATTATTTTGTAATGAGAATGCTATGATTTACATAATAAACACCTGAAGTATTTGAGAAATATTGCAGAGAGATAGGAAATAAGCTAGGTTAGAATACAAGCATTACACTACTATATAGATTTGGACTTTTGCATCTTTACAGAATCTTAGTTGAAGGGGACGAGGTTCCTCCACCACTTAAAACTTTTGCCGATATGAAATTTCCAAGATGCATCATCAAAGCCTTACAGAAGCGAGGCATTGAAAAACCGTCTCCCATTCAGGTATGCTTTCATGCTATCATCTGTTTTCTCTTTTCACTTGTTTGTAAAAATTGTGTACAGCTAATTCAACTCAAGGAAATAATTACGCATACTTCTTTTGCACGTAATAAATTCTCACTTACCTAATTTTCAGATGCAGGGAATCCCAGCAGCCCTTCAGGGACGTGACATGATTGGCATCGCATTCACAGGCAGTGGAAAGAGTATGGTGTTCATACTACCCATTATTATGTTCTGTTTGGAGCAAGAGAAGAAGTTGCCTTTTATGGGAAATGAAGGGCCATATGGTGGGTTTTCTTCCTTTTTTTATACTTTGTTATATTCATCGTCAGAATCCTGCAATACTTTGTATATCCTGCGTTTATTCTCTATATTAGTATGTATTACATGATATGGCATTGAATTATCATGATTTCAGTTCTTTCATTGTTTCTTAAAAGCTAATTTATCATGACTCTTAACCCATTGACACTGGGTGTATGTGTTGTCAACTGTAGTTTTGTTTTGTCAATTTTGTTTGCACATAGGTGGCTTTAAAAGTCATGTGTGATGGTCATTGGGTATATTGTCAAGTTTCAAGGTAGAATCCCGTATGAAATAGGAGTTATAGCTAGTGCAAAAACTGGTTCAGACTTGTTGCTTCTGATGATCTTTAGCATTTCAAGAGTTTAAATGTATCTTGGATCTCAAGGTTATATTAGTGAGCTATGTTTACTGACTGAGAGAGGATGACATGAGCTCACTTTTACAACTGGTTTACATAATATATATATAAGAAAATCATGATATGAGAAATAACGCAAATAAGTAACACAAAGTCTTCATTTATATCTGCTACTTTGAAAGTGAAACCACTTGTATTAATAGGGTAATTTTTAGAAATTTTTATAAATGTTTGAATCCCTTTTTTTGCTTCTTTTATTTGTAAAAGGTCCCCCTTGATTAACTGCATAAAAGGTAAAGCTAACTTGCCTATGTGTTTCTTTTTTTTTAGGCCTCATTATTGTACCGTCTCGTGAGTTAGCCAAACAGATTAAGGATAACATTGAGTTCATTTCAAAGTTCGTTGAAGCAGATGGTATGCCAGAGTTAAGGACATCTTTAGCTATTGGAGGAGAGCCTGTTGCAGCCGCCATGCAAGTCGTGCGAAAGTATGTATTTGGATGGTGTTCTGATTTTTGTATTCAGAAATTGATATAGTGAACAGTATCTTTAGCACATCAAAGGTGTTTTAGTAGGTTAGGAAAATAGGTATAAGGTGTTCTGAATTTTCTATTTGGAAATTGATATACTGATCAGTATCTTTACCACATCTATGGTGTTTTTGTTGTGGCAAAGCTGATAATTATTGGTACTCTGTTACAGGGGTGTGCATATTATGGTGAGCACTCCAGGACGCCTCATAGACATGCTTGACAAGAAAATGGTTCGTCTTGATGTTTGCAGGTGAGATTTCTCTCGGGTCACTCCATTTTCCTTTCTCTCCTTGCTTTACTTGGTTTGTTTTGTTTTTGTTTTCTTTCCTTTTTCTTTCCTTTCCTTATTTCTCTTCTCATTCCTAGTCCTTCTGTTTTTTTTTCTTTTTCTTCTTCCTTTTCTTTTCATTTTCTTTTGTTTGTTGTATCTGACTGGGTTACTTGTATTATTATTCATATTATCATTATTGTTATTAGTAGTAGTAATAGTAGTAGTAATACTAGTAGTAGTAATTGTAGTTGTAGTAGTAGAAGTAGTAGTAATTTCTTTTTCTTCTCATTCTTCTTCTTTTTCATCATCTTTGTCCTCATTTTGTTGTTTTTCTTCTTTTTCTTCTTCCTTTCATACTGTGGAAGTAGACCTGACATTTTATATATCAAATTAGATATGATTTTACAACTGTATTTACTTTAAAAGCATGATAACATTTGGTGAATAACGATATGTAATTTCTGCAGTTATATACTAAACAAGCATATTTTTTAAATTGCATTTCTCATTTCCACAGATACCTAGTAATGGATGAAGCTGACAGGATGATTGACATGGGTTTTGAAGAGGACGTGCGTACTATATACTCGTATTTCAAAGCACAGCGACAGACCTTGTTGTTCTCTGCTACTATGCCTAAAAAGATCCAGAACTTTGCCCGTTCTGCTCTCGTGAAGCCAGTCACAGTGAATGTTGGTCGTGCTGGTGCAGCCTCAATGAACGTTACCCAAGAAGTGGAGTACGTTAAGCAGGTGAGATTACACTTGATACCTAGGTTTTCTTCTGAACCTGTGGATGCTGGAAACTCCCACTGTGAACCTGGGATTTATTGAGGTTATTTATTTGTTTATTTGTTAATAGATTAATTTATATATATTTGTACATCTTGACTTATTAGGCTGACCCTCACATGCTTATAGCATTTTATTATATAATAATCAGTCTAAAAGAGATGTATTAATTAATTACCATTCACTATAAATTTAGGTAATTGCCACATTAATAAATTGCTCATTTTCATCTCCCCAACAGGAAGCAAAGGTGACACACATCCTGACATGCTTGAACAAAACGTCTCCACCAGTACTCATCTTTGCTGAAAAGAAGCAGGATGTGGATCTCATTCAGGAGTATTTGCTACTGAAGGGTGTGACGGCTGCCGCTATCCATGGCGGGAAGGACCAGGAGGAAAGATCAGCAGCAGTCCAGGCTTTCCAGGTAAGACTGATTGATTGATTAATAATTTTTTTTTTTTTTTAAGCTATTAACATGATTATCCAGCTCAAAAGACTTAGAATATGATTTATAGTATGGAATTGGGGTCAACTGGGAAGTATGTTGCTACTTTGTGTAATAGATATCAAAGTCTGAGAATATTTCTTAAGGATTCTTGAATAAATATTGATTAAATATGGTATAAAAAGAAGCCATTTCTTATCTATAGAACTGTAAGATAAGTAAGCAAAATTACAAGTACAGTAGAAGAAAAACATTATTGAATGTACCTGTACAAAAGTATAATTGGATATTAAAAAATACTTTTTATTTGCAGAGAGGTGACAAAGATGTTTTAGTGGCAACAGATGTGGCCTCAAAAGGTCTTGACTTCCCTGGCATTCAGCATGTCATTAATTATGATATGCCAGATGATATTGAAAATTACGTCCATCGTATTGGGCGTACTGGACGATCAGGCCAACATGGTGTGGCTACAACCTTCATCAATAAGGCTAATGATGAATCAGTGTTATTAGATCTCAAACACTTGCTTATTGAAGCAAAGCAGAAGGTTTGTATAATCTCTTCTTACTCTTCTTTTTCAGTAAGAAAAGTTTCCTTATTTCTGGCACTGTTAAGAGTAAATAAATGTTTAAAGTAATTTGCTTGATATATATCAATAATGTTCCTGGAAGAACATTCTACTAATCACTAATTTGTCTGTTTCACAGGTACCACCCTTCTTGCTTATGCTTGGAGGTGGGGAGGATGATCTCATGGCGGCATTGGAGACCAACGAAGAGGATGAGAGAGGATGTTCATACTGTGGTGGTTTGGGTCATCGTATCACAGCCTGTCCCCGACTGGAGGCCATGCAGAACAAGCAAGCAGCAGGCATTGGACGAAAAGATTATTTGGCTGCTAATGCTGCTGATTACTAAACTCATACATATGCATATAATATCTCTGTATGGATGTGCAAGTACTGCATTATTAATGTTTGTAAAGGAAATATATTTTAGAATGTGTGTATATGAAATGGTATGATTGTTCATAGGAAATATGTGTAGTATTTTTTCCTATGTAAAAAATCTAATTTCAATAAGTCAGCACTTGTATTTATTTCTATTGATAATGTATAATCAATGGATGAGAAGGATTATCTTCCCCGCAGTATTTTATGTCACTGAAATGTACATAATATTGTAATTTTTTCTTTCTCACTAATTATGTTCATGGTGGACATAAGTGTAGTTGATATTCAGGAGTTTTATGATTGAAGATTTTCTTCTGCTGTATTTTAGGAATCTAGAAGAAATTTGTATCACTGAATGTTACAATTGTATAACATAGTGTCGGTTATGTAGAAGAATAGGTATACTTAAATGAATGAGGAATATTATAATGTTATTATTTTATTAACTGTTTATATTTTTTCATTGATTTATAGCCCTAGCAAATAAAAGCAATTATTTGGATTATGTCTTTATTTACTATTTGCCCTACATAAGGCTATAAAAGAAAATTCATTGTTTCTCATGAGACCTTTCTCAAAATTCAAATGCATCACACATTTTTATTGGTGCAGTGAGGCTAAATAAGACAAATTTTGATATGCAATGCCAATAAAATAGACAAGTCTCCATGTACAAAAATGGAATCTTTAAAGAAAATAAAGCTTATAATTGGTGGATACATCATGCATTTGAGTTTTTTTGCTAGTTTTACAGCTTGAGGACAGATTCCATTATTGGTGACTCCTCGGCAAGACTCACTGGTGCCACAGGTCCATATTTGTCATTCTAGTGACTAACAAAGATAGAAAGGTAAATTGGAACATGTTACAGTTCAGACAGATGTACTTTTAAGGCTCTAAGTGGCGAAGCAAACAAATTCCAACTCTTTCCCTGTTTGCCACGCAACACTTAGTGAAATGTTTTGTCAGGTTGATCGTACATCTTGACTTCGCCGCACAGAGCACTGTGTATTTTACCTGAGAAAAGGCAAAGACATTTTGCAATCTGTGGGTTCTTTTGGCGCATTTTCATCAAAGATTTTGAAAAAAGAAATTGATGATGTGGCAATTTTCACATGTGAGCGCTGATGAGAAACCAGATTTTTTTTTAATAGGCCTCATGGTTGATTATGTGACATTTTATTACACAAGTCTACTATCTCCATTTGAATAAAGTTCTTTATACAGTCCTAGCTTTGTTCTTAATAACTTACAAACAGCATCCTTTGTAAAATCATTCATAAATAAGAATCAAACATGGATGAATCAGAAAATTCATAAATTAAATGTTTACAATTTATAGGCAATGTATCCTCAGTAAGATCATCTAGACTTGCCATGTATCCTATATATCCATTAAATAATAATAATTTCTTTCCTCAAAAGAAAAAAATTAGGCCCTCAGTAACCATATTTTAGATTGATAGAATTATATATGCCTTTTTCATAAGGATATCAATAGTGTCAGACTATTTTTGAGCTTGCAAGTGGTACACACATAGCTCGCTGACCAGTTGACAACTACAAGCATGCATTTGACTGGGAAATGAAAATAAAAAAGGAGTTACAAATCCACTCCCTTAAAGAATTATAATACAAATAATTGCCAATTGGAATAGGTCATATTTCTGACGTTACCATCTACTTCTTGGACTATGGTCTGTGAAGTATAGTGTAGCCTGTATTATTCACTGCATGGCTTTTGGGCCTAATTGCCAACCTTCTAACTGGGAAAGTTTATTATTACATAAAATTTATTACTATATAAATCCCAATCTTGAAGGTTTCTGTCTTAAAGTTCATATGCAGTAAAGTTAATTCATTGATATCAAATCAATTATACTTCTAAAAGAATGAGTAAAGTCAAGACTATAGTAATGCAAGTACTTACTGTGATTATATCATATCATGTAAAAAATATATATATATATATATATATATATATATATATATTATATATATATATATATATATATATATATATATATATATATTATATTATACATATGTGTGTGTGTGTGTGTGTGTGTGTGTGTGTGTGTGTATATAATGTATATATATATATATATATATATATATATTATATATATTATATACATAGCATAGATAGATAGATAGAGATAGATAGATAGAGATAGATAGAGAGATAGATAGATAGATAGATAGATATAGATAGATAGATAGATATAGATATAGATATATATATGCATATATATATATATATATATATATATATATATATATATATATATATATATATATATATATATATATATATATATATATATATATATATATATATATATATATATATATATATATATATGTATATATATACATATATATATATATATATATATATATAATATATATATATATATATATATATATATATATATATATATATATATATATATATATATATATATATATATATATATATATATATATATATATATATATATATATATATATATATATATATATATATATATATATATATATATATATATATATATAATATGTATGTATGTATGTATGTATGTATGTATGTATGTGTGTATATGCATATGAATATACATATTTAATGGTGCATGCATGTGTATAAGCGCGTGTGTTGATATTAAGAGAAAACAGTAAATATTAAAAAGTAACAGAAAATCATTAGAAATATAGAAAACAGTTTATGCTCGTGCATTACCCACTAAAGTGTACAAAGCCTGAACCCTCAAATTCAAGAAAACCTTCCCATGTTCCATAAATTGAGTTGGATAAATGTATAATGTATGACAGCGATGTGCATGAGCATAACGAAACCATCGTGATGACTCCATTATCCTTATTACGACGCAAATTTAAATCAGTGTGTTAAGACTGGCCGGGCAGAGGTTGGCAATCCTGAATCCTATTTTAGAGCCAGCATCGCCCCATACCGGTCTTACCACTCCCTAGAAAACACACCAAGTAAACCCAATAAACCAAAGAAAATGTCCATAATGACCCAAATCCCGGGATATTAAGCATTAAAGCCTCCAGAGCCTGAAAAAGCGGCCGGAGTGGCGGCGCGGCGCGGTTGGTAGCAGTGGCGCTCCTCGCGGATTGTTTATGTTGTCTCTCTCGGCGTCGCCCTCGGCCTCCTCTCGCGCCGCCTAGGATTTTCCTCCTGTCACTCTCCCCCGAAGGAAGCCATGACTCTCGCCTACCCCAACCAGCCTCCTCAGAGGGGAAGGCCGCCCCCGAACTCCGCGCAGATCCAAAAGGTGGGGTTTAGGAGGCTGTGGAAGGGTTTGCGCGGCGGCGGGTCGGGAAGCCCGGCGTCCGTGCTCCATATTGGCTCCAAAGCCTTTTTTTCGGGAATGGAAAGATTTGGGTCGGGTTCTTGGGGTCTGGGCTTCCTCTTCAACAGGGGCTCTCGCTTATGCTTTCACAGTCTCTGGTTTTGTTTGTCTGTAGCCTAACCGTAGTCTTGTGTTGGTTGAACAAGGGCTTATTTACAAGTTTGTCTCCTTGGCTGTACTTCAACTCTAATTTGATGCTTGTTCGGCGAGGAATGAGATAGTAACCCTATAAAAGTTTGAGGAAGAATGTACTATTATAATTGTGGTTTAGTTTGTAGTAACAAATCATGATACAGGTTATACTGACCTTGGTTTTCCGGTATTACAATGTACTACCTTTCTTATTCAAGTTCCATGAAATCTTCCTATCAGAGAATGTGTACATGCTGCATTATGCAAGGGCTTGTAGTATCCTATTAAAGCTAAAACTATTATTATATAATATTGGTGGAAAATCTCTAAGTGTTCATAGTGGTATTTGTTGAAGAATTGGTAGCTTGAGAAAGAAAAAAATAATGTGCCAAAGAATTAAGTGTAGATTGATTGGTTAGACCTATTGCAATGGGGAGTTTGTGGTAGCAACAGTATTAACCTTATTATCTATGCAGGTTATGAATTATACATGGATAATTCCTAGGTTAAATACTAGAATAAGATAACAGCAATAAGTAATGATAATATTCACTTATAACTCTTAAGTGGCTTGCATCCATATAGTCTTTCGTATAAGAGAATTACGAAATTTTCATGGAATGACAGAGCTTGTACTGTCTTCTTGTTTGACAATAAATTTCTGGGGCAATCTGCAAGCTCTGTTTGGTTTGATATACATTGTGTAGGTTTGTGGGCCTTCGCCAAGAGCACCATCACGCTGTAATGGTTACCTAATATGTGCTACTTAGGTTGTTATTGAAGAAGTTCCCCCCCCCCCCTTTTCTTTCTTTCTTTCTTTCTTTCTTTCTTTCTTTTTCTTTCTTTCTTTTTTCTTTCTTTCTTTCTTTCTTTCTTTCTTTCTTTCTTTCTTTCTTTCTTTCTTTCTTTCTTTCTTTTTTCTTTCTTTCTTTCTTTCTTTCTTTCTTTCTTTCTTTCTTTCTTTCTTTCTTTCTTTTCCAAACAGACTATCAATGACAGGATTAAAAACCATTACCTTGAAATTAGAAAAATATAAAAAGACATCAATTGGAAGAGTGGTAAAAGGAAAAATCCAAAGCCAATTTCATATTTTGAATCAAAGAAAGCGGGGAAAATAAACGTAATACGATTTAGGCTTTTATTAGAGCTAACCTTTATTATGCCAAGACTTGTACGATTCTACATCTTGTGGCAGTTTCATGATGTGTACATCAATAGTTAATAATTACATAACTATCTGCGTAGATACAAATCTAATAATTTGTACACATGGAAATCCTTCTGGATCACTTCACTGTTTACTGATAACGTTCTATTATCCAGCATGTTTGAAGGAAGAGGATAATAGTCGACACAACTGCTCACCAACATTAGCCGCTTTTTACCAATGAACTCCCCTCTAGTAAGCAAATATTCCCCAAAATAAGGGTGTTAAATCTTTGGCAGGTTGAAAAAGTTTTTTTTCTGGTTCTAAATCATGTTCAAAGTACTTATTGTGGTTATTGTTGCATAAGGAGACAATAGTTCTGTGCTTTGCAGTGAGGGAGTTTTGCCCGCATACCCACTGGGGACATGCGGAGATTTATCCACTTGAGTATAGATCTGTGCTCTTTCATGAGTATTTAGAAAACAACTTATACTTTCTGCAAATAATTTTCCTAACAATGTTCTGCGTGTTCTTGAAAGTTGTTTTTTTTCTCTCTATTCCTAGACACGATTTGTTTCAAATATCTGAATTTTTGTCTGTCACCATGCTATTGCAAAATGTATGTATGTATGTATTTATTTATTTATTTATTTATTTATTTATTATTTATTTATTTATATTTATGGAACATACTTTTACATAAATTTATATAAATTTAATGAATTTCAGTTGCTGGATGAAAATTCCCAACTGATCAAGACTATCACCGAGTACCAGAGTCAAGGGAAATCTCATGAAAGTTTTCAGTAAGTAATACACCATTCCCAAGAGTTTTTCTGTAGTAAATCAGTTGTGGTAATATGTTATGATCATTGGTAATAGTAGGAGTTTTGATTACATACTACTGTGTTGTATCCTATTGAAGTATCTTCACAATGTTTTTTTTTTTTTTTTTTTTTTTCATCCATTCATTCATTCATTCATTCATTCGTAACATTTTACACTTAACCGATTGATCCTTAGGATGGCATACACGCCATGTCCGGTGTGATTTTAGTTTAGTTGACACAGATGGTTCCACAAGGGCAAAGTCACTCTTGATGTGCCCTAAAAAGAAAAAAATTGTTCCAGGTACCAACAGTCACTCCATCGCAACCTGATGTATTTGGCTTCAATGGCTGACAACTCGCAAAACATGGCCCAGCTCCTCCCGGTAAGTTATTTATCAATGTGTTTTTCTTTCTATTTCTTTAATCTTAGATTACTGGAAGTAATATTTCGATGTTATTTCGTGGCCACCAAAGCACTTAAATGGAATTTGGACATTTTAATTACCCAAACTGGCAAAGTTAATAGCATCGTTATCCTAGATAAGTCATATTATATATATAAAGCTCATTCCCTCATGTTTGTGTTTGACTACATTCCTTCCCTGCTGACTAACTCCTCTAAAAGAATAAATCCTTCCATGTGAGCATTTGTGGACAGTTACCTAAGCCGAGCCTTGTACCAGTACCCTTGTGGGCAGTAATTATGCATTGGCTAGTAGTCAGATGACGCATGGTGGCATGGACCGTGCTTCTCTGTGACTGCACAGAAAATTTTGAGAATTGTTCAATTCATTTGTCCCAGCAAAGACTGATCTCTTCCAGATGCTGAAGTACAGGTCTTAGTCATACCCTATTGTCGACATGGTTGATACATTTAAACTTGAGAACAGGATATTCCCTACCATAGATGTTAGTGACAGCACAGTAGGCATGGTTTCACAGACTGAACAAAAATTACTGAGCACCTCTAGATCTAAAAGGGTGCCAGTATATATACCTTAATGATAAAGGCAACTCCAATGTGGCTGTGATGCCCGTGTTTTTGTGCTCAGCCCAGCCAGTCAACCTTATTCACAAGACTAACGTAGACCTGTAGAGCATTTAGGAAAGTGCCACGTTGACTTTCATTGCCAGGAACAAGTGGGAACGCATGAGGTGAGCAGTCATCACAAATGACTGCTAATGTGGCACTGAAGGAGCTCTGATTTATGTTGGCTGCAACAGTACCTCCACAATGAGGACATGATAGCAGGATATCAGATCTGATAGCATTGAGCTAGTTATCTGTATCGTGTCGATTGCAAACGTAACAACAGGCTCGGTGCTTATGTTGTCAAAAAGGCTTTGATGCTTTGCTATATGCATAACGTTTGCTAAGTCGGTACTGGCTAAGCTAGGAACTGGTGAACTTGCACATGATGTTTCTTCCGACCACTGTTTGATTTCAGACAAATCAGAGTCGCTGAGGTAGAGATGAAGGGAACATTCCAAGAGCGAACCTGGACTGCAGACGATAACAGGAATAGGAGTGTCACGAGATGCCCACGGAATCAGCTCTGAGGGAGAGAACGAGGAGGGAGGGGGAAGGGAGTCACAAGACATACCCGGAATCGGCTCTGAGGGAGCAAACCAGGAGGGAGGGGGAGGGGAGTTGCTTGACGTACTTGGGACAGACTCTGAACAAGTCAACAAGGAGGGAGGAGGGGGGGAATCACACGATGAGTCAATCAGTCGCTCTGATGGAGCAGCTGATGCTGAGTGATCACAGGAAGCTAATCGTTTCATAAATATATCTTTCATTTGCTTCCGCCTCTGCGACAGCAAACTTGCCAGTTAATGAAGGTTTTCTGTGGGACTAATGCTTTGGGATACTACTGTAATTGTAACTAGGAACCTATGGAAAAACGTACAACTGGCCTTTGTTTATTGTTTCTCTGGAGTCAAATTTGCAACTGAGCAAAAAAAAAAAAAGTTTATTAAGGTTAGAAATTAGTTCTCTGATTGATTGGGCAGACCCATGGGCAGTTGCCTTCACAAAATTCAGCTCATTGATTGATTAACTGTACGCATGTGCAGGTATAGCAAGCATATTAATGAAAATAGGAAGGGATAGCTGTCTGTTGTCTGGGGATAGACAGGAGTACTAATGGGTAGTACCAGAGGCACACTCAGTCACACTCACACCCACAAAATATAGGGTAACTTGGCTTGAAATTGTAATTTAAAAGTATACCTTATTGATTTGCCTTTGTCTTCAAGGGGTAAGCATTTTTCATTATGATTTTACTTCTATGATTTGTTTTTGAAAGTATGGAGCTAATTTTTATGTAATGTTTTCTATTAATGCTGAGCATTGTTTATTAGCCCCCACAGGTTCCAGGTCAGCAAGGTCAAGGAGGAGATGGCCCGCAAGGTGGGCCCCCACCTGGGCAAGGTCCGCCAGGGCCACATCCACCACCAGGGCCATATCCTGGACAACAACCAGCCCCCTACAGGCCTCCTGGTCCCCCTGGGATGACTGGAGGCACCACCAGGAGCCTGGGGGGGCAGCATATCAGGCATTGGTACCCTAATGCAGGACCAGCGCCATATGGAGCTTACCCTCCACGGCAGCACCCTGGGAAGTTCCACCCTGGCAGTCACCCAGGCAGCCATCCAGGAAGTCACCCAGGTTATGGAGGTCCAATGCCAAATGCTCAGCCTGGATATCAACATCCTTCAGGACCAGGGTATGGCCAAGGATATCCTCCTCCTCCTGGCAGTCAGTATGCACAGTATAGACCATCTCCTGGGCAAGGACCTCCCCAAGGACAGTTTCCAGGCTATGAGCAGAGCCGATACCCAGCTTATCAGCCACCACCGCCATCAGGGCCCCCATCAGCTCCACACTGATATGTTAACCATCTCGGTGCTAAATGTTATACCATAAACAGCACGTACCTGTCAGATCTATGTACAATTTCTCAAGTAGGTGGGTAGAGCTCTTTTTAAGTAGCTAATTACTCAAGACAAATTTATGATATGAAGGCAAGGAATGAATGAGATGTTTCTTAGATTAATTAAAGACAGTTGATGTTGGCTTTAGCATTAGAAGGATGAACAGAATAAATGGAGGTCTCTAAAATTAACATTTTCTTTTTGAAATGATACATGTAGTTTTTTACTTTCTGTAATTTCATGGATCTGATTATTTTCTAAACACTGCAGTAGTAAGATGAGTTAATAATGTATCAAACTTTATTTTATCTTTTTTATTTTGTACGGAGCATTTTGAACCAAAGTGGAGAGACTTGTTTTAAGAGAGAATAAATAATTTCAACAAATCTACTAAGCATTCACTTTGTTCCTAATTCTATCAATAATGACTGGTTTTCTCATAATAATATCTTAGTATAAGAGAAACTTAGAATGTTTATTACATTTAGTCACTAAAATTTCAGGTACTAAGATTATATTAAAATTATTATTTTTTCTATCAAGTTGAAGATGCACTGGAGAGTTCGGTGATAATTGTCTGAATAGCACTTGAATTTCAGGAAAATGTGACTTCAGTCTGTTGAACTAACAACAGTCATCACTAACCCTTCAAGTTTATCTTCACTTATATTAAAAAAAAAAAAAAAAAAAAAGAATATAGTAATTCACTGTAAATTGTGCATTTCTGTTTCTATTTGCATTTTTTTTAGCTCATGTATTATTTTTTCTATATCGTGTAGATTTATTTTTTCTTTTCATAATGAGCTTTTCATATGATTTGCATTTCATAGAAAGTAATTGTAACAAACTTTCTTGGTCTTTCCATATTAGCATGGAAAGCCTCGAGTGAAAGTTCATTAAAGCTCACGGAAAAGAAAGGCAGTGCTTTCATTACGAAGAAAATTTTACGAATTAGGTTCATTGTACATATTGTAAAGTGATAAACTTTGATGAGTCACAAAAGAAACTAGATGAATATTTAATTGGAAGTAAAAATTGGTCATTACTTGTGTGGAAATAGGGATGTAAAAAAAAAGAAAGGGAATGCCAGAGCTTTAATATTCTTTGATATTTTGGTGTTAGAATGAGGATTAAAAACACTCATTTGCCATACAGTATTTCTTAGCTTTAATGATCATGTCAGTAATTATATTGGACTGATACTTATAAAAAGAATTGATAAAATTCATGTCCAGCAAGTAAACTGATAGTAATATCTATTATTTGAGAAGTCAGCATAAAAGCTATCCTGATCCACATTGAAACTTTGGTTAACTATTTTGAAAAGTTTCTGTTTAGCCTCCTTTTTAAATGCAAAAGTCAATATGATTATAATCAGATTTTGGTTGTTTTGCATTGAGTGGCACCACAGAGATGCAAGTCACATTTTTCAGATTTGAATGAAATTTACTTTCGACATCTTTATTGTTATTGTCTTTCGTATTCAAACCTACTTCAAGGTGAATATCCAACTGTATACGATAAACAACTCGCTATTGATATTGCTTCAAATTTATTGTATGACTGGCAGAATTGCAGTTGTATATGACTATGTCCATCTGTTGAAGTAAAAGCATTAAGGATTCATTCTTTTATTAAAAGAATGGCTTTGAAAATATTTAACAATCATCTTAACAGCTAATCCTGTGAATTTTTTGTTGATGACATATATACCCGTGAGAGGTTACTCCCTAAAAAGGTGCAGTGGCTGTAATCCTGTACATAGGTTTTAATATTTTTATATCATTTAGCAAATTTTTAGAATGTCGTGCTGTGCATTCGACATTAGGGTCTTAAATTATCCTTTTGGAGGATGTAATCGCCTCAAGTATTACTACCTTCCCTCTTTCTTTAGGTCCTTTTTTTCTGTAAGGAAAGTTTGCATTTGATATCCCTTCTTTAGGTTCTTCAGCTTGATACAATATTTACAAGTAATCAGCAGGACAAACTTTGTATAAGTCAAGAATAATGTATATGTGCAGTTTTATTGCACTATTTCCTAAGTACTTGTTTGCAAATGAAGTGACTTGTGGTAAATAAAGTATTAAAATAAAGTGAAAGAATACCGTTTGTTTATTTTCAGTTTATATGAATGAAGAGCAAGTTGTATTTATTAAGACTGATAGTGAGGAATCTGCAAACCCTTTACCAAAAAGCCTTTACTTGTAACTGTCAGCAACTGTTGATTGTGTAAAGCAGTGCTCAGAACCATTAGCATAGGATAAAGATCAGCATAGTCGCATTTGTGTTAGAATGCACATAAGTAAAATGGTAAAATAAATAATATTTCTATCTTCACAATTCCCAAGGTTTTTATACACAAAATAATATTTAGTAAGAGCAATTGGTCTAGCAGATTGATGCAAAAAATTCTGCCATTATGTATTGCTTTGCAAAACCCATGTGTTATGTCCAAATCTATGCTACATTAGAAAACCAGTGCATACTTGGAACTACACTACTTACATGTAAATCCTAAATTCTCATTCTACTAATTCCATCTATGAATGGGACCATAACCTGAAAAATGCTTTTCAGGAGTAGCCTGCAGCTAGGCCCATCTTATTAATGAAAGTAATAGTTACCATGCCAAATGTATAGTGCCAGAAACAAAACAGATGTAATATATACAAGTTTTCCTGTAAAAAAGACCAAAATACTCAAGGTAGGTCCTCTCTGACCTAGCAACTGACAAATTATAATCGTCAGTAGCCTTCTATGGCTTTAGGTGTTTCCATTTTTTTGCTATTTCTGATATCTAACACCATTTCATTATATTAGTGGGCCATATAGTCACTGGTCTTGGTCTTTCCCAGTACTCTTGGTGCAAATACCAGTTTTCTCCATTAGTTTCACAAGGTGTGTTTGCCTGTTTGAGTTCTAATTAACTACAGATAGTACTGTTAGTACTTTTTAGCAGTACTCAAAGTAGTTTCATTTTGAAATAGTATTGCTGATATTGTTCCAAACCAGCAGAAATCCAGCTGTATGTGACTTGATTGTCTACCTGTTAAAGGAGTTCTGAATTAATTCTTATATTTAAAAACTGACTTCAAAGGTCCAGCCATCATTTTTATGGACTAGCGTCCCAAGAGATGCCACAAGCTGTTTTGGGAAGTCGTGCCTTTTAATTTACAGATGGATAAATGCTATCAAAATACTTCCTCGTACTTCTCTGACTTAATTAAGTTTTGTTGAGAATGGAAACTAGTTTTAGAACCATCATGGATGTGGGAACAATGCTAGACTGAAGGGAAATTAGAAATCTGTGTTGTGCTATCAACCGAGTAGCTGTGAAACTCCCTAGTTGAGACAGAAAGGACAAGATCCAGATCACCAACATTCATATTGACAAGTGATATGGAGCATTTTGTGGGTGTGAAATAGGTTTTTCTTATCATGATTTCATCTCATTTAACCATATCCCACTGTTCAGTCTTTGTTAGATTATGGTTGAGAAATGAAGCACAGATGCTCTTGAGATGAGTATTCTCACAGGTTATACGCTGAAGCTCAAACAAAAAGAGAATAAGATATACTGTCTATAAAGCAGTGCATGATGAGATATGTAGGTAGTTGGAGAGCAAAAATAAAACGGAACACAATTCTCAGGTACACCAACATTTATAAAGTAATGAGTGGAGAGGACACTATCTATTCTGACAGTAGATAAATACTAGATAGACAGTTACCATACTAGCTGATAGCTGGATAAACATAGGGGTTTTGCTGGAAGGCCTTTGAAATCTCTGAAGGCACCATCCTGTTTGGTTGTTATCGCCATGACAAGAAATGTGTACTTTTTAAATTATACAAACTCAATTGTAGAATTGCAGATTAAAATTGTTGGTCTAAATCCTTTCAGTAAGGTCAAGATACTAACAAATAATTCGATTCTCAACACGCAAATTGTTTTTGGGAGGGGATTTAGATTCAGATTTTCTAGTTGGGTATTTCTACAAGAAACAATAAAAGGGTTAAAAATCACATTAAATACTTTCCCTATGATTGGTCATTATGTTACCATCATCAATATTACATATTTTAGTTTCTATAATACTACACACGCTACTATAAAACTGGCTTCTAAGACATGTTCTATCCTTCAATTTCCCTTGCTGTCCTCTTCATCCTCTCTTAAGATTTATTCACTATACATACATTAAAGGTTAATTAGATATACATATTTTATAGAATGTGACTTCTTTATTAAAAAGAACAAAGACTTAGTTATCAAAGGTATATCTCATAATTGTTTCTATAAAACTGATACAAAGTTTATAATTCATTGATTTAAAGCTGCAAATAGTTTGGATACAAATAATTTACTATTACTGTGTTGAAGAAACAAAGTACTTTTGTTCTTATTTTATTATAAATGGGACAAGTATGACAAATTGCAATTCTGAACTCTATAAAAAAAAACAATCTTCACCATCTGGGAATGTGAATCAATAAATAAAAAATGGTTCTAATATATTCTACAAAAATGGCAGCAAATCCAAACAAGTATTCAGCTCAAGCTAGCAGCTTTGCCTCTCAACGTCTCCTCCTCTCCTTTTTGTTCCTGGAATAAAAAGGAAAAAGGTTTTAAAATACATATGATTTCCTGAATTCTCTTGTTTTTAAAATAAAAGCAAGCTGGAAAAAAGAAACAAAGATGAAAAATAAATGTACAGAGCAAATAAGCATATATTCCTGTTGCATAAGTCTATTTAACAATACCTTACTTTTGCAACAACAAAAGATGACACATGCAAAACAAGACAGCTTTACTTACTTTCTTGGCCCTTTAACAAAACACCATTCCACGGAGATTGTCTGACCTAGGATTACAGAGCCATTTAGACCATCCAGAGCTGCTTGTGCCTCTTTGAAGGTCTCAAATTCTACCAATGCATAGCCCTGTTAGGAAG